GGAGGCGGAGCCTTGTCCGGTTCACTTAGAGTTAGACTTAAGCGGCCCTCGGCGGCCCATGCAACAGCTGCCCCGTCATCGTGACGACTGCGTGCCCTCCAAGCTGCACACGATCGCCGCGCACGCACACGCGCACGTCGCCGCCACGCGGCGAGGCGACACGCGCGAGCAGGTCCGCTCGGCCCAGCTTCGCTGCGAAGTAGGGCCCCAGCGCGCAGTGCGCCGAGCCACAGACAGGGTCCTCGTCCACGCCGACGCACGGCGCGAAGCCGCGCGAAGAAAAGTCGTACGAAGCCGCCGGCGGGCCGCCTTCTGGTAGCGGGATGCCGGCCTGTCGCACAAATGTACTACGACGTCACGATCGTGCATCTTGCATCGGCGGCATCGGCGCATCGCGGGAAGTGGAGGGTACAACTGCAGTGGAAACGGCTGCGACATAGCCGATACGTGCCTCATGCCGACTGAAACTAGGATCTGATTCATCTAGGGTTGCCGGCGGGGCAGCCAGCGCAGCAGACCGAGAGGACGCGGCACGCGAGAGCGCTCCCGGAGCGAGCGATCTCGCTCGGCTCGGGCCGGAGCTGCGCAAACGCCTCCGGAGTCACCTCGGCGATGAGGTCTCCGCCGCCTGGGCCTCCGATGGCATTGCGTCCGACCCAGAGCACGGCGTCGCGGCTGGGCAGGCCAAACGCGCGCACGAGCAGACTCGCGTACTCCCCCGCCTGCTCCGGCGGGACTGGCATTGCTGGCTCTGCGGGAAAGTCGAGCGAGATGGCCCCGCTCTCCGTGTCGCGAACCGCCGTGAGCACGCCCGACTTGCTGTGGAAGGTGAGAGGCCTCGAGAGCCCCGCATCGTGCACGTCCCACAGCACTGCGGCAGAGGCGAGCGTCGCATGCCCGCAGAGGTCGACCTCGGCGGTGGGTGTGAACCAGCGCAGGTCGTACGACGACGGCTCGGCGTGCGGGAGGAGGAAGGCCGTCTCGCTCAGGTGCATCTCGTTGGCCACCTGCTGCATCCAGGTCTCCTCCGGGTAGGAGCCCGGCCGCAGGAGCACGACGCAAGCAGGGTTGCCACAGTAGGGTGTGCCGGTGAAGGCATCGGCGTGCGCAGAGGGCAAGGCGCCGTTGAGCGACGAGGCGGTGGCCGAGGCGCAGGCGAGGATGGCGAGAGCGCGCATATGTTGTCAAGATGCTGTCACGCCGTTGTGTCGGTCCGAAAGGGGGTTTCCGTCTGACGTTGTGTTGCGCG